GTGGCAAATGGCACTAGTTTTGACTGAATCCATACTGGGTTGTCATCATGCCCTCCTGCTTTTTCTTTTCTTTTCTTATTATTATTATTATTATTATTATTTATTATTATTTTTTTTTTGTTTTTGGGTCACCCTGCTTTCTCGCTTCTCCCTTCTCCATCGTATTTTCACAGTTAAGAATCCATGTTAGTTTAATTCGTTGTGGGTTCTGTACTTAGACTATTTTGGTTGATTTCTTTTGTTTTCAGGGTGTTTTGAAGGTTAATCAGTTTATCGAAGTTCGTCCTGGTATTGTTCTTAAAGACGAAAGTGGGAACATCAAGTGCACACCCATATACTCGAGAATAGTTTCATTGTATGCTGAGCAGAATGAGCTGCAGTTTGCAGTTCCAGGAGGTTTAATTGGTGTGGGCACAACCATGGACCCAACTTTGACTCGTGCTGACAGGTTGGTCGGTCAAGTTCTTGGTGAGGTTGGATCACTTCCAGAAGTTTTTGTCGAGCTTGAGGTAAGTGCTGAACCTGCAAGAGGTTGTTTTTTCTGGTCTCTTAAGTGACGTGGTTGACTTCATGTTATTCTTCTTACTTAATGACAGTGCTCTTTGTCTTTTGCAGGTAAACTTCTTCCTTCTGCGAAGACTTCTGGGTGTGAGGATGAAGGGCTCAGAGAGGCAAGGAAGGGTCTCAAAGCTAACCAGGCAAGAGATCCTAATGTTGAACATAGGGTCCATGTCAACTGGGGCTCGCGTTGTTGCAGTAAGGAATGATTTAGCAAAGCTGCAACTGACCTCCCCCGTGTGCACCAGCAAGGGAGAGAAGATTGCACTTAGTCGTCGAGTCGAGAAGCACTGGCGTCTAATTGGATGGGGTCAGATTCAAGCCGGAACAACCCTGGAGGTCCCACCCTGCCCCATTTGAAAGATATAAACAGGTAGACAGAAGCAGCAGAAAACCCAGCAAAAAGAGCATACCAAAAGAGTTAACTTTGTTAAAATGTGGCGAGGAAGACAATTGCTTGGAACCATTTTTGTCAGATGGCAAAGAAAACAGTGTTTGTATGGTTTTGATACTATGTGTATGTTTCTTTTTCCTCCTCAATTTTTAGTGCGCTTTACTTGTACCGGTTCCTTGTATTTTGATGTGATGAATTTATTTCGACTAAAGCGCGGAAACATTAAACATTGCGCTTGTATTTTGTTCATGTTTGTTGACATTATTTCTGAAATCCGAGGATATTTAGCCTGGAATTCCAGGCACTGCCCGCATAGACCTGCTTACCCCTTGAAACAGGTTGTGCACCGGTAATATTCAGATTTAACATCGCAGGAGCATTTTTAACTAAGAGATTCCTGTTTTGAAACCAGGAATCATTTTTAAGCAAAAAAAAAAAAATAACAATTATTAAATGGGAGATAGTCTTTATTCTTTAATATTAGATAATTTTTTCTCATTTAATTTTTTTTAATATATCTATAGTAAAAGATCATTAAAAAATGGATAGTTCTTTTCATTTTCTAAATCTTTCTTACTTATCCCATGTTTCGAACTTAAAATTTTTAATTAAGAATTTCAATCATTCACTAAAATGTTTTATGTATTCTTAAATTAAACTATAGAATACTGTCAATAATCTAAATAATTCAATAGTAATCTTTTCTGGTTA